ATGCTTATTCCACAATAAGTATAATCAAGACACATGCACAAACAGTGAAGATCAGATTTTTCAAAAGAGTTCTGCACCAGCACTTCCTAAATGAAGCACCCAGCTTTTTCACAAGGTCCCTCACACATTAGCTCCCACTGAGTGTGTTTAACAGGAGCTGTTGGATGCTGGGATATTTTGAGAAAAGGATGGCAACTGTGGCTGCTGAGCACTTTGTGGAATATCTGGTATATAATAAAATGGAACCAGATATTTTGAAATTTACCTACAAAATTCATTTGACTTGCAAAATGAAAATGTAAGACTCAAAACATTATTTCCTACAACATTACAACGTTAAAAACTTGGTCTAATTTGAGGCTCAATTATAGTTGGTCATTGGGATCTCTTTACAGTACTTTTGCTTTTATTATGATATCTTATCTGTCCTGTTTGTGAGTAGAAGCTGAGGGTCTACGGTTAATGCATCGTAGTTTAATATAATCTCTCTGTGCTTTGGCTTAGTAGATTTCACCTAACCACTTTTCCTCTAATGCATTAACTACTTGCTCATAATCAGCTAACGCCACGTCTAGTAGTAAATTATGGTGGTTTTTTTGTCATGTCAGTGTTTCATTAATCATACTACTGTAGAAAACCCAACTGAAGCTTGTTAATTCTCTTGCTTAGCTAAATACAAACTACTACAGAGATCTGGTTACTCAGCTTGTTGGAAACATTTGCTGAACCAAAATTGGAAATTTGTACACTCAGTGGTCACTGAAATCTCATTTGTGACTTTGTGGATAGATGAATAATCCTGCATGGCCTCCATACATGTGTCCGGTTGTTCTTTGTTCTCCTGTGCAAGTTTTGTTGTTCTAGTTCAGTGGTTCTCAAACTTTTTGGGCTCCAGAGCCCTTTACATGCATAAAAATTTATGCAGCACCCCACTGATTGTATGTGTTGTACCTATCGATGTTTCCAGTTTGTCAACCTCGCGTAGCCCCTGGAGATGTCTCACGGAGCCCTAGGGCTCCACAGAGCACAGTTTGAGAAACACTGTTCTAGTTCATTTTCCCCCCCTTTCATTTCTGTTTTTTAATCAAGAAGACTTTAATTGCTTTTTTCCTCAAGGGTCCTTCTTAGGAACCTAATGTCCACTGTTTGTAGTGCTGTTACATTAGGCAACACTCTACCGAATACCAGCAAATGAAGAAATATGCATAACGGTACCACAGAAACGCAGTAGATTTTTCTCTGTAATTTCTTCATACAAGGTTTTTGCTGAGGCCATCTCATAATCAAAACTTAATGTTTTCAAAGCGTAATAATTCACAGACATTGAGACTATTCCAAAATACGAAAAAGAAACTAAACATTTCCACTATGACACTAGCGCTCCTCATGTTTCCAACAGGACATCGGCCACTTCATTGAAACTTAATCAAAACCACAATTTCTAATGACCTGACCCATACTTTTTTTAACTCCCCTCCCCCAGCTTTTCTAATCTTTGCCAAACCTTCATAAATCCATGCAACCGATCACAAACAAACTGTTTGGAGCATAAAGCAACTGCAGTAACAACATCTGTTGGAACGGTGTTATGGGTTTGAGTAATGGTTAGGGAAAGGAGATGCCGACTGGGTTCAAAGAACACATCTGCTAAAGCAGCGTATTAGTCATTATTACTACTAGCATTACCTGTCCCATTGTGACAATAGACATACACATGGCCTCCTCCCTCCCCAATGTTCCCTGGGGTGGGGAGGCTTGGGTTGTGGGGCCTCCTCCCAGAGGCATGGGAGAAGATTGGGGCCAGCATTCTCTTCCCACCTCACGGCTCCAGGGATGCTGGGGTGCACACAAACTCTTCCACTCCCTGTGGTGGTGGTATGTGTGTGTGGGGAGGTGGGGGGTGCACACACGTGGCTCCCTCACTCCCCACTGCTCCCAGGAGTTGGGAGGCTCAGGCCGTGCAGCCTCTTCCCTCCCCGCTGTTCCAGGGATACTGAGATGCATGGGCATCCACTCTTCCCCATCCCTGTGGTGGGATGGGTGCATGCACACTCAGTGCACTGCACCTCCTCCTCCTCCCATCCCTGGGGATGGAGCCTCAGCATAGGTGGTTTGGCTGTAGGTAGGGGTGAGGCCTGCCTCCCCTACAAACTTCTCAAGTCTTCTCAAGTGTTCTTTGTGTCAGATGGCGTGATGGACACGTCTCCTTTTATAATAGTATAGCTTAATTATTACTAGATTTACCCAGCACTGTTTAGGCCCTTAACTCAATTAATTTTGGGGGTTTGGGAAAATAAAAAGCTTCATTTAAATCATTGCTCTGGGAAGGGGCTAGGGATGAGGGGTACAATATGCAGGCTGCCCCAGGGAGAGAGGAATTACCCCAACCCTCTATCACTGCAGCAGCTCGTAGTCAGGCAAGAAGCATTTCTCCAGTGGTGCTGCAGCTCTAGCAGGCACAGCCGGGGGAGGAGTGCATGTCACTGGCTGTGGCAGGTCCTGGTTCATCTGCCCTCTGCATTCCCCAACCAGAGTGAGGAATGCAGCAAACTGTGCATTTCCCCCTTGCTCTCTGATGAAAGGGGATCAGCCAGCAATCTTCACGTATTAACTAGGGAGGGGAAGAGTTTCAGCCTTCTCCATCCTCCCTAAAAGGCACCCTACAAAACAGGAGGCTTGGGACTGGGGCTGTCCTGGAGGGGGCACCTCCAGCTAGCCCACTTCCACCTGCCTGGTGATTGTTTCCCATTCTGGGCACATCCCGTTTTCCTGGTGCAACTAAGCCTAAGGATGTGAACGACTAGTCGACTATCTGATAAGCAAATCCACCAGAAAGAGCAGCAAGGGGCGGGGGGGAGGGGAGAAGACGACAGGGTGCTTCAAAGCAGCAGCGCTGTATGGAGCCCAGGGCCAGACCCTGGGCTCCATGCAGCACTGCCACTTTTAAATGTCACATGGAGCCTGCTGCCTGAGTCCCCATCTGACCCCGGGCTCCATGCAGCGCTGCTGCTTTGAAATGTCACGGGGAGAATGGGGCCAGAGAGGGACTGCTTGAGTCCCCCCGGCCCTGTGCTCCCCGCAGCACTTTCACCTTTGAAGTGTAGCAACAGCCCTGGTCGCCTAATTAAATAGTCAATACAAATTGCATCAACTATTTGATTAGCCAATTAATCTAAATTTAACATTCCCTAACCAAGCCCTGACCTTGCTTTTAAGATATGATAAGAGGAAGCAGTATACCAAATCTGGTGGTCGTAGCTCTTACTGTTTAGGAGGAGTTCTTGAACAGACAGATGGACACACAGACAAACTCTCTCAAATATATAGTAGATTTCTATTACTGTAGCACTTTGAGGCCCTGATCATAGGTCAAGCATGGTGCATACACAAAACAAAAAAGACATTTTTAGTAATACAGTAAACTTCTGATAATCTGGCACCTTTAGGACCCAGGGGGTGCCAGATTATCAGATATGCCAGACTATCAGAAGGGGAGGCTATGAGGGGTCTGACCCCAGAACCCTCATAGCCTCCCCTTCCGATAGTCCGGCTCTGCCCCAGGCATCCCTGATATCCGCTGCTCTGGTCAGTTTCAGCAGCGGCTGAATCAGGATGCCTGGGGCAGAACAGCTAGGGGGCTGCCGGGTTGGTCCCACAGTGCCGAGGAGTGGCACTACCGCCTCTGCCCCGGGCCCCCAGGCCAGCCGCTGCTGAAATCTGATCAGCGGCTGACTCCAGGAAGCCCGAGGCAGAGCTGCATGGTGCATACACAAAACAAAACAGACATTTTTAGTAATACAGTAAACTTCCGATAATCTGGCACCTTTAGGACCCAGGGGGTGCCGGATTATCAGATATGCCGGACTATCAGAAGGCCCCAGACCCCTCATAGCCTCCCCTTCCGATAGTCTGGCTCTGCCCTGGGCGTCCCTGATTCATCCGCTGCTGGTCAGTTTCAGCAGTAGCTGAATCGGGACGCCTGGGATGGAGCATCTGGTGTGCTGCTGGGTTGGTCCCTGCAGCGCCGCACCTTGGCACTGTGGTGACGAACCTGGCAGCACCCCAGCTGCTCTGTCCCAGGTGTACCCAAGTCAGCTGCTGCTGAAACTGATCAGAGGCTGATTCCAGGAAGCCGGGGCAGAGCAGCAGAGGGGCTTCCTGCAGTCAGCAGCTGGTTAGTTTCAGCAGCGGCTGAATCGGGGACAGCTGGGGTGCTGCCGGGTTGGTCCCGCAGCCCCGAGAGGCAGCGCTACGGTACCTACCCGGCAGCACTCCAGCTGCTCTGTCCCTGGCTTCCCGGATTCAGCTGCTGGTCAGTTTTAGCAGCGGCTGAATCCGGGAAGCTTGGGGCAGAGCAGCTCCAATGGTCCGGCTACCCGGAGCACTTCCGGGTTCCTGATGGTGCCGGACCATCAGGGGTGCCGGACCATCGGAGTTTTACTGTAATTATGAGGCTGACACAATGATGTTCCCCACCTGTTTGCCCCTCAAGTTAGTGGGCATCCCATGCAAAATCCCCATGTACTCTGACTTTGCACAAATATTTAGGATTTAGCCCTAACTCATAACCAACCAAAAGTTCTCATTATAGAGCAGCTGAGGATTAATCCATTGTTATTTAGATGCATCATTATAAACTATGAAAATATTATGTTTCTAAAAAAATGCTGACTTACCAAGCATCAAATCTATTTAGCAGTTAAGGCAAGTGAATATTATACATCATTAGTAATCCATATTACTGCACTTTACTCTGACAGTATTATGAGGGAGATTTCCTTCCAGGACAAAACTGATATTTTTAAAAGAAACAAATTAAAGGTTCCTTTAAAAAAAAAAAGGGGTGGGGGAGAATGAATATACGTTTTTACCTTACAAATTCTTCCAATTCGGGAAAGGATTGCTTTGTCAGATGTGCTGCTATCTTGTGTTATTTCTCGGAAAAAGAAATAGATTTTGTCGTCATCTGGATTATATGTGTCTGGAATGGGGTAGGTTCCAATAAATTTTGCTCCTAAAAGAAACCCCCAAACAAAAACAAATTATTTAAGAATTTTTAAAAGTCCATAATACTTGAGGCCAAGACTCTGTCTGTGTTCATGAAGCAGCTCATGGCAAAATATCAATGAATCATCATAGGCGCCTTTGAGGGAAGTCTGGCCATAAGATTGTATTAGCTCCAAAAGTATTTATGTCTAATAGGGTAGCTTTCATTCTTCAAGCTATATTCTTTTCCAGAACCCTTGACTGGCAAAATTGATGGCCATTGGGAATTTACAGCATTAATGCCAAAATTTTTAGATCCAGAAAACATATCTATGACACAGCTAATTTGCTGCTTGTGTTACCGTTCCTGCTAAATAGTTTTCTTCCAAAAACACATTGTTACACAATTATTTAATTTTAAAATGGCAGCACTTAGTAATAATCCAGGGATACAGGGAACAACAAATGTTTACGAGAGATAGTATGCAAGGGAGCAACATAATCTCGATTTGTTTGCATGACTCATGCTCAAATATTAATAACAGCTGTAGTAAGCCAACAGTTTCCTATGCACCTGTGCTAGGATGGCTTTACTAATTCAATGGCATTGGAGTGGCCTTGATAAGACAATTGGTTCATGTGACCTGTTTCGCCTTACAATGTCATTTTCAAAAATTTAAAAACTTGGCATTTTCATTTTACTTGTGCACTTCACTCAGAAAGTAACAAAATGCCAGACACCTTATCTAGTGAAGCAACAACAGGCAACAAAAGTCAAATACACAAGCAGAGAGGGAAATATTTAAGGAAATTGCTTCAAAATATCCTTGTAATCTGCCACAACTGCTGAGATTCTCTGGGAGTACTCAAGATAACTCCTTTGCACTGAACAAGAGGCAGGGCTAGTGGCCAGACAAACTCAGTAGGAATAGCCGATGTGGAATTCATGTCCCAGGCAGGTCAGACAGAGCATAGTATCTCTGGCCCTCACAGAATGCAGTGCAAGGATCATCTTTTCTCCCTGTGGTTTTGCTAGGGGTAATAAAGAAGGGAAAATGAGGACTAGAAGATGTTGGGTAAGTGAGGAGTGAACTGGTGATTTTTTGGCCTCTGTAAATAAGTTAATTGATTCATATTTAAATGTTTGTTAAATTATCGGTACGCACCTAGATACCAGAGAGTGAAATGTGTGAGTCAGAATAACCCTTGTATTACTCCAGCTTCACAATGATATGGTCCCATGGAGTTCTGTCAGTGTGAAATTGGAATGATGCAGTAGATAATTTACGGCAGGATATTCAAATGATCCTAAGGAAATGAGTCACTCATTTTCCACTCAGTCCCTTTCAGGCTCTTCTGAAAATTCCAGCCCTAGCCATTAATAAGTGCATTAATAAGCTTCCAATGTGGCTATCAGTATATAGAGCTAATGAAAAATAAACAAAGCAAAATGTCTGAAAAAAATCCTTGACAAGCCCTTATTGCTTTCAGATTGTTTTAAAGTCTGAATTCCAATTCTTTTACATTACAATTTTTCTGGGTTACTTGGCAAACAGACTCCAAAAACAAATGCACAAATATCAGTTCCTGGAACAGATTTTAAATGGTCTCAAACAAATTAAATAAAGGAACAGGGGATATGTAAGTAATATAATACTTAAGGACATAAATTCACAATTGAAAACATTAAAGTTGAAAGTTATACCCAAACAAACAAACAAACTGGAAAAGGTAATCATGCACAGCTGTAAGAGAGAAATCAATGTAATTAACACACCATGATACAGAATACCCTCCCAAACATTTTTTTTCCACAAGTGAGATCATCCTTACATCTTTAGTATCCTGTTCACGCTATATAGAAAAACAAATTATAATTCGCTGTGAAATGGGTTTTTGTAAATTTTATAGAGAATGAATGGCATTATTGGACATTTTGAATCATTGTTTACATTCTCAATCATATAACACATCTTCATTCAAAAATCTTACTGATTTCTATAGAAACATCCCAAAGATTTCATTTGTTGGGGTGTTTATAAGCAAACAGTAAGTCATTGGGATCGTAAATAGAGACCAAGGCCTGGTAACAGATGATACAGTATATCCTAGTACCGCATAAACTTTTTATAATTTTCTTCGATGGCCATCTGGGAGCAGCAATAAAATTATAGAAGGTTCACTAATGCAGTCTATATCCCCGCTGTTGTATCTGATTACCTACTTTAAACAGTGCTTCAATACTTTGTTATAGGATTGCTTGGTCAAGAGGCTCAATAAAGTTTATTCAACAGAATAAGTCATATTAAGACTCAGCAAACTAGGACTCATGAGGCTCGGCAGAGGAAAGCAAAGTAGTGGAAAAGGCCCACAAGGTAGGGAAGTGAAAAACCGGAGCTGAAGCAGCATGAGCTAGTGGAAGATACCATGCACACACCTTATGGCCTAGACTACACTAACTGGCACCATCAATCGATGTCAGCTACTCACATAACACAGCTGAAGTCAACATACTCACCATGGCATCTTTCATGTGGTAAGATTGGCGGGGGCTACTCTCCCGTTTACACCAGGTACTCTTCTTATCTTGGTGGAGTACCAGGGTCAACGGGAGCATACTCAGAGATTGATTTATCAGGTCTAAGCAGACAAGATAAATCAACAGCTAGGGAATCTATCACTGGAGCACTGATCCACTGCATAGTGTAGACAAGGCCTATGACTTTGGGCCTTTAGAGGACATGACCAGCCATACTTTGTGCAGCGTATAGAAGAGGGACAGCCACACCGTGATGCATGCTTCTCATGTGTCCTACATTGTGGGACAAATCCATAGAGGTTAATAATATCCAGGGAGACATTTACTCTGATAATGGCATTAGCTCCCTGGGCAAGGGAAAGGAATGTGCAGTTGCTTGATGCTTGTGTGTGTGGACAGATCAAAGACAGCCTGGATCAGGAGTGAGGCACATTGCCACTGACCTTTCAATTCCCACACAAGCCTTTTCATTGTCATTTTAGTCAAGCCTCTGCTTGGCTAGGGCAAGATAGATCTACAGTGCTTCAATCTAAGGCCCAATCCTGAGAAAGAATCCACATCTCTTCTTGAAAGACTAATAGTGTCTCAGAAATCTTTTCCTTCTGCATTGTTTTTTGCCTCCACGGGAAGGAAAAATACTGCTTCCAGAAATATTTTAATAAAAACTTAACACTTAAAACGCTAACGAGCACAAAAGCACAACCCTCTCTGCACTCATAAAAAACAACCAAATAAAAAAAAACAATTTTTCACTTATCCTCAGTAAAACATGAGTTACCCCCTGAAAGTAATTTACTGCTAATTATACAATATGTACCACCATTCCTGGAAGTCTCACATATTCCTGGAAAACTGATAGTGAATTTAGTTTTGGAGTGATTTTAATTCTAGAATCAAGTAAATATTTGCTTAGTACCAAAATCTGCTGAAAGCACAAAATATATGTGAATGTTAATATAATTTAATAACTAGTGGTACACTGAATATAATGTCTCAGTATTTAATACAAAATTTAACACAATATTTAGAATTTCCTCAGCCTTAAGAGAATAATTTAAAACATAAAACACCTAGCTTCTATTTTTTTTTCCGGTGTAGAACAATGCAGGGATTGTCTATGTCAAGTTTCAGACACACTATAATTGTAGTTGTTAAATACATCTGGAAAGAAAGCAAAAATCTGACAAAGATGTGGAGGCTCCATTATTTACATGGCTGTGGTGAGGAAACTAACATACCAAGTTGCTTTTAAAATTCTGTTATCTTCATATAATGCAGATTATTCTTACAAAGTTCTCACAAATACATTAACTCATAGGGAAAACAAAATACAATTTAAAAAGTCTAAAAAGCTAAACTAAAACCAACAGAAATAAAACACATACACCTCTCTCAGTTTCTTTGTTTTATTGTGCACCCATTTACTGTTCCCTTGCCCATTTAGTGAAACAACCGCTCAAGTGAAAATTAATGGTGTAGGTATATGTGTGTAGGATTTGACTGTTAGATAAAAGTATTTATGTATCCAATTCCCAGTAATTGGTGCCTAAATACCTTTGGAGATCTGGGTCTTTGTAATTTTGGGCAGGAAACTGAATCCTTTCATAAACCAACAGTCAAGCCTGACAACAGGAGGAAGGGGATGAAAGAGGGGGTAGTTGCCCCAGAGCCAGGTGATTCAAATGCCCCAGAGCTCCCAGCTACTGCTGCTTCTGAAAGCCCAGGGTATTTCACATCACTTCTGGAGCATCACACTGCAGAGCCCTGGGCGGTGCACTCCTGACAGCATGGGGAAGGGGGAGAGGGGTTCAATCCAGGCAGCATGCAGGGCTGACTGCCCTGGTCCTGCTTTTTCCCATCAATGCTCCCCCTTCCACACTCCCCCTTCACTCCCACCTTGCCCAGGGGCCCAGCAAGTCTGTTGGTTCGCCTGCTGACAGTGGTGTTAGAACTGCAGCAACCTAATTCATCCTCCCACGACTACATTAAATCTTTTCTAATAATAATACTTTACACCTCAGGGAACTGGCTAAACCTAACAACTTTTATAGCCTAAGTACTGGTCAACGTCCAGCGTTCTAAACTGGCTGGAGAAAGAGCAGGCTGCATCAAAACTCCTGTAAGGAGACAGTCCTGGCCTGATCTGGACCGCCTCGCTTTCCAGGACACCCCTCCCCCCCGGCCACCACTTTGAAACACAAAAGAAATATGCCTTGCCTTCCTTCACTGCCAGGCCTGCCCTCTGCCTCTGGAAGCGTAGCAGCCGGTAGGATGGCAAGCAGTAAGAGAGGTGGGACAGAACAAGTACAGAGGCAGTCAAGGGAAGAAAACAGGAGATAACATAGAGGGAAGTCAACGAGGGCTAAGGAAGAGGGGATTCTCTACTTATTTGGCAGAGTCTCACCTTCAGAGCAAGGGGATAGCTAAAGATATTTTAGGGTTCTATATATTCCTCATCCTAGTGTCTGTCATGTAAACAAGCCCTAGATGTGAGGCTTTTTAACACAGGAGAGATACCAGGACAGGTGACACAATTTCATGGAAGGCAAGAGAAGAATTAATGAAAATACTCTTGTCAAAGGTTTAACAGGCACAATGATCCTTTTCATAGACTAGCTAGGGAGAAATCAACTTACCCCTGCGGTCAGGAGGCTCTGGCTTTACAACTAATTCATAATAGCCACACGGTCATGCTGCATCAGGGGACAGTGTTGGCACATTTTTAAAGATAATTGATGGGTGAAAGGGGACACTTCACATCTCCTGACTGAAAGGCATTATCATCATTGTGGGTGAAGTTTGCTATGCCACTCTGTGTGATTGGAAGTTGGCTGGGCACGAATATGGCCATTTTATACATTTTATTACTTTTAAAATGGGCAAGAAAAAGCAGCTGGTTTCTTAGGAAGCAACTTTAAAGCATCCTTAGTGGTTTTAAACTGTTCTTTGAAGCAGCACAGTGTATTTTTCCCCTCTGGGGGGGAAAAAAGAAGACATCTTACCTAAAAAGGATGAAATTTCTAGCCTGACATTTCAAAGCACTGTAGGAAGCACTTTTTACCAAGTGATTGCAACTGTTTGGTTAAAAAACATATTATTTCAACAAACGGAAAACTAGAAGCACTTATGACGTGAAATTATTTCCAACTACTGTGCCATATATAGACTGATAGATTAGAGATGGAAAGCACTCTTAGGTCTTATACTTCAACTTGTTTCCGTTGCAGTATTTTCCCCTCTGGTACATTTCTCCAGCACTTTCTCTGTTCTACTTTTAAAAGACTATAGTTTGAAATAACCAAGGAGGCAACTTTATTTATGCTTGTTAAATACATATGTTTAAATGAGAATGGGCCTCTGATCTTTCAAAATGCAGAGACAATGCAGTCAACAGCAACATATGTTTAATGTCTTACCGTTAAGCCAGTAATGTTCGGAAATGTCAGTTCTAATGTAATGGTGGTCGTGAGAAGAGCCCAGAGATCGTGTTAAAGCTGTATCTTTGCCAAGGAAATCAGAAGCTGTCCCAGCATAGAGATACTCATCTGTAAATGAGAAAGAAGTAGGGAGGCTTTCTTCAAGATGGTTGTGTATATATAGTTTAAATTACTCCTGTATTGTTGCACAAAGTATATATATTTTACTCCACTCTTTTATTTTAAATCCAAGTCTCTGATTCTGTAATGCTACATGAAAGATAACATTTTCAAACTTGGCAACTTCAGAGCCCATTATCAAATGTGACTTAGGTGCTGTGGAGCCTAAATCCTATTCACTTTCAAGGAGTCTTAGGAAGAATTTCCAAAGGCCCCCAAGTGCTAAATCATTTCATGCAGATTATTGTTTCATACACTGAAAACTTGTAAAGATTAATTGAGATACAGGGCCCAGATTTTGATTATTTGAAAGTATATGAGCCTCTTTGCCTGGATGAGAGGATGGTTTGTCCCACAATGAAACTCCATTCATAATCAAGCATAATGGAAGTCACATGCTTCCATGCATAGTTTCCATGCATTGCATTGTGCCAGCTGCAACTGAAGTTACAGTAGATTTCTCTGCTTATGTTTCCGTATGATTCTCAGATTTCAAGGCCAGAATGTATAATTATGATCATCTAATCCAACCTTCTGTATAACACAGGCCACAGAATGACCCCAAAATAATTCCTAGAACATATGTGGCTACCTTCATGACATCTCAGCACTGCCCAGAATTAAAGGAGCACAAAAGACATGAATAATGTTTGCTGAACAAATTGTCTATTACACAATGCATTCCATAATAGTCCTTTAACTCTGGCAAAATAAGAAGCTATATTTAATAATGATTATTTGTACAAAAAATCATAGATAATGACATATTTCTAGTGTAACTGTAAACAACCCAACTATCATGTATGTAATCCATATATGAATCCCAGAACTTCACATTTCACAGCAATCTTATGTCACATGTAAAATGCCCCTTTGTTCAAATCCTTACATTGGTGAAAACATGTTATATGATCTCTGTGCAAATAAACCCAATGCTGAAAGTAACTGTATTTTTCATTTTATGCAATATTCATGTTGTGAATTTTCTTTTGTAAAGAGAAAAACACATACAAAAAAATAAGACGTATCTCATGATTAATATGTACTAAACAAACTTATGTTTATGAGTATTCCTTTACCTAAGTAGCTGTTTCATAACAATATTTTAAAATACATCTTTCAGACTGCATGTCTCCTTTGTGCAGTGACGAGAGCACACGCTGAAAGGTAAATGTCAAAATGTGGAATGGATGATATAATTAGTGTTTGCCAGCTGACAGCCATTCAATGATTGATAAATCGGAAAGGCTCAAAGAAAATGCACATCCTCACTTAACCTCTGTTGACAAGGATCTTTCAGCTCTTAACTTATTCTCTGGTATCCTGCATTCCAAGTTCCTGTTGTTTCCTATAAAGGCTTTGGTAGACAAGAATGTTTGAAGAGATATATGCTAAACAATGCTATTAATAATGAATGTATCAAAAATCTTTGTGCAATTGAATAATAGTATAAATAAAAATGTCTGTGTAGGGTAAGGCTTTTGGTAACAGCTCTGTGATTAGTCATGCAAAGAGGTATTTGTAGCATTGGGCCCAAAAGGTTCTTAAAATGAAGTACTAAAATAGACACCAACAGATGCATTCAATCTGCCCCTGTATATTTTAGCCAGAGGAATTAGGTTTTTTTTAACATAATGTATAGCTAATCCGTAGAATTTAGCACCACTAGATATTGAGGACAAATGCTTTGCAAGGTTTTTTTTTTAAAAAAAATAGGCATTTATAAGGAGAATTAGAACATTCCCAGTTACATTAAAATATAAAACTATTTATAAAGAACAGAATTCTGAGCTCTTGTAGAATGTTCCCCATCTTTAGATCTCAAGACATTTTACAAAGGAGGTCAGGATCATGGTTCCCATTTAAATATGTGAGAAATGAGGCACAGAGTGGGCTCAAGACTGTCCAACATCACCCAGCATGCCTGGGGCACAGACTGCAAATGAATGGAGGGCTCCTTTTATAAATTCTAAAACCAGAAGCGTTTTATCTGAACTCCTGCATAACATCAGCCATAGAACTTCCCCAAATAAGTTTGGTTTGACTTAGACCATCTCTCTTAGAAAAATATTTGTATTTAAAAATTGCCATTGATAGAGAAGTCCCACAACACTTGGTAAAGCGTGCCAATGGTTAATCACCCATCACAAATTTAAAATGTACACCTCATTTCCTGTCTGATTTTGCATAGCTGCAATTTCAGCCACAAGGGACTTGGCAGTGGTTGGTCCCATTCCAGTGCTCAGTCTTAGTTCAGTGCCCAGGCAGGGGTAACTGTCTCTCTTGTTTCAGGGCATGAACTAAATGAAGCATTAGGAAGAAATTTCCCCTGGGGTAGGTGACTCACAATTGACCATTGAGTATTTATTGTACCTTCTCCTGAAGTCCCTGTCAGAGATTGGATACTGAATTAGAGAGGTCATTGTTTTGCTCCAGAACTTATGTTCTAAATGTTACGGTTTAATAAATTGAAACACAGCCACTTCTTCACAGAACTTGACTTAACACAAAACTCCAGAATATTTTAGTGTTAGTGAAATTAACAACCAGTGCTACAATATATCAGAGTGATCTGTCACATTAGGAAAAAGAGCCATAGAACTTTTAGAATTGCTTTTTAGAAAAAGACTTAATGGCCATTTAAAAACTCCTAAGGGTTCCTGAGAATGGTAACCCCCTGGCTTTAAACTATTGTTTGTAATAAAGGAAGCGCTGGCCCTTCAGCTGGGTCAAGATCACAAATCAACTCCCTTATTATTGTAGAATAAAGGCTGAACATTAGTCATATTCTTTTTATAACTCCAAGTGTCTGACACTTCAAAGCACTATCACCACTCCTCTTTTGCTGTAAATGAAAAGGTCATGGTGCTTCACTCTTATCACATATTCATACACTTGACAGACAAGTTAAATGAAAATTGTCCAAAGTTCTGAACCAAACCATGACAAAAGTATTCTTGCTGTGGTTTGAAATACAGAGGTCAGGCTAACATTCCATGGCACCAAATGTCAGACCACACAGCACTGACATACAAACTAGAAGTTGTTACACTCGGTGCCTCTGAAGTGGCTACTCAAATAATGTATAATTTTGGCAGAGGACTTCATGTATGTCAACAGACTTCAAAGGGCTGACAACATTGAAATTTGCCACAGATCCCATGAATCATCTGAAATACTGTATACAGATGTCTTTTAAGCATAAATGACTAGGTAAAGATGACACCACCGTGTTTCTAAATGGGGAGCTCTTCTATTTATTGGCCCTCCTATTTTCCCTTTAGCTTTATTGCAGTCATATTTTTATCATATACAAAGTGAAGAACATTTTGGGGCCAAGTCCACAGCAAGTAAAACCTGGCATAGCATCCTCAAAGTCAATGGAGCTTGGCAGATTCACACTGGCAGATGGTCTGATCCTGTTGTCTGTTGTTAAATAAGATTTTGATGAACACGCAAGGCAGAAACATTGGTAAGGTTGACATCTTACCTGTCATTACTGAAGCAAATGGCTGTTGAGGATCAAAAGGACATTTCAGCCTGCCAGACTCCAGGTTCTGAGTGTCAAGTCTGAATACCATTTCCTGAAAATAAATGCAAATTCATTAGCCAGGTGTCACTGCAGAGAGCAACTCAGGCTCACAGGTATCGCTCTGCTCATCTATTAAGTAACAGCATATTACACTGTGTATCACTCATGTGTCTGGCCTTTATGTCTATAGTTTTATAGACCTGCTTTGAATCAGACATTCACATGCATCATTTTAATGCATCACAGTCATTTAACAGAAATTAATCGAATACAAATAAACTGATTTTAAAAAGATGCATTTTCAATTCTATCCATCCAGATTAAAGGCCAAATTGTACGTTAAAGGCAGAAGCCTTTGGAGGGAGGAGGTACAAATGGGAAGGATTCTGGCTGCCTCCATGTGGCTTTCTCTTGGGGCTCCTGAAGTGTGTGCACTCCTTCAATGAGTGCAGCATATGCCCTCCCTCTGCCATCTTTAGGAAGCCACTGAGGCTGGGGGTGACAGCATGGCTCACTGGCTCCAAGCAGTGCCTATATAGCTAGAGCCCTGCAAATCTGCAGATATCCACTTTATATCCATGGGTATCCACATGCATCAATGTGCATATCCCACAGCTGATTTTTGCGGATATGGATGCATATATGGATACACCTTCTGTATCTGTGCAGGGCTCTATACAGAGCTGCTAGGTACTAGTCAATTGCACAAGGCATAAAATGGAGAAAAAACAAGAATTAAAAATAAATGTTTTAAAATCAATAACGATTTAAATCTATTTATATATTCACATGTTGCTAGTCCTGTACTTCCAACCCATTGCATAGTCTTAAATAGATATATGGTACTTGCTTCCTTCATTCACTTCCCATTTGTTAATACAATTTCAGTTTTACAGAGATTATTTTTCCACCAAGAAATTTCACATTTAATATTTTTGTGCTGTAGAAACACTACAATACTACAAGCCCAGGGCCATCCTATGGGTTTGTCTAACCTTGGAATGTTTTACAAATTATAACAGTGTAATTAAGCCGTATCAATCAAGACTGTATCATTTAACTACTCTTATTATACTATTATGACTTGCAGGGTGGATACTCTTATTTTGGAGTAAAGTGGGTTTTCTGGGTTAGTTTAAAACCTCTTCCAAAGCAACATATGCTAAATGAAAAAAAATGTGCCCATACTGTAAAAAGAGTTTCCACCTAGGGACTTATAATGCTATAATTGGTGTGTTTAAAATTAACATATTAGTTTCTACTGATAGAAGTTTCCTGTGGAGACAGGTCCTAATAGCTTTATTGTGCAGACAGCACAAGCTCAAACACAAAACTGATAAGCAAGTAATTTGGGCTCTGTTTGCAACCATAACTATATTCCACTAAAGTGAACTACCAGAAGTCAAGAAAGCTGAAATGGTTCAATCTCATAATACTCTTCCAACATAGTTTGCAATCTGAAGTCAGTGGAATCCTGACCTTTTTAATCACATCGATACTTTTGAAAATCCTACCCTTATCTACCTAAATATGGGCTTAATGCCTAACTTTAGGCTCCTATTTTGAACAGAATGTGTGAAAAAAACCAACCTTTGTTAATATAATGAAGGACTAAATAGTTTTTCATTGTTAAAACAAAATCACATTAACATCTTTGTCACTTCAGTGTTCTCTACTAAGGGAAACATTTCAATAAAAATACCAATTTTAGCCAGTGATTCTGCAAATGCTCACATGTATGCTTAACTTTTGCATGAGAGTACTCCCAGTGAAGTCAATTGACTATTTGTGTGAGTAAAATTATGTAATTGCTGAAGTATCTGTTGTACCAGAACCTTAATCTTACCATAGAATTTAGAAATGGTGTATGTGTCTGTCTGTCCATCCATCCATGAATCCATTTGTTCAAGAACTCCTCCTAAATGGTAAGAGCTAAGACCACCAAATTTTGAAGCTTCCTCTTATGAAAACTTAAAACAAGGGCAAAGATTGGTTGTAGCAGGACAATGTGTACATGGAATGTGGTTGGTTCTCATTAAATAGAAAGGAAGGAGTGTGATCGCAGGGACAGTTATACTCATGAATGACCACAGGGACCAGCAAGCATGGGGTACATGTATTCCCCCAGAATGACCACAGGGGAGCAGCAAGTGCTTCTGGGAGCAGCCATTGGCCAGCAGTATAGTCCTTGCCACATTGTCCTGCCCTGGGAAGCAGCCATTGGCTGGTCAGCATGGCCCACATCACCCAGGGCGGCCCCCGGAAAGCAGGCACCAGCTGGGCAGCATGGACCCTGCTGCTCTGGGCCAGCCCTGAAAAGCAGCTGTTGGCCACTCCTACCCCCTTTGGTAAGGGTCCCATCCCCTTTGCTGAGCCTCCCAACCCACACCTCCCAACCTCCCACACCTCCCAACCCCCTGTCCTGACTCCTGCACTCCCCCACTTCCTGCCCTGAGCCTCCTCACCCTTAAACCCTGACTCCTGCAGCCCTTACAGCCCAAGCCCCCTGTCCTGAGTCCCTACATCTCAAAGCCCCTGCCCTGACTCCTGCCGGGAAGGACCCAAGCAATGCTGGGGAAGTCTTTTAGTTTTCTATATTTTGTTTTTCACCCTGGTGCATGTTTGTATAATTGCAGTGAGAAACCTTACTAGGAGTGGCACTTAAAAAACCCTCCTGCATTTATATATAAGTTAAGCATATCTTTTAAACTAAAATTGCAATATCACAAATGTTCTAATTAATTTCAGAAAGTTTTAACCTTATTTAAATCAATTATTAAAAAAATAAAAACCAAGTCCCGTCAATGAATGGTTTCAATGTTAAATCAACTTCTTTTCAATAACTCCATCCTCTTTTGAGGTGTGTAGGGGTGGCTACTTACACACCCACAGAGAGCCATGTACAATACAACTTAACAAGTTAAATCCATCAATAATCTATGCTACATGTTTAGGTCAATACACGGCATCTTATTTTTACCTAGCTCTGGTTCTGTCTTCACTTAAATCTGGCTCCCGCTGATATAAGTGCTCCACAATGTCACCTTAATAACTATCAGCACCTCCCCAAGAAGTGTAGAATCATGGTCAATGTAGTTAGGCCAACCCAAGGTATAGCTATACAGCAAAGAAAAAACCCCATGTCCGGCCTGTGACTTCAGGGTCTCCCCCTCCACACCCGTGGAATGCCTGACACAGATAGAAAGAAGAAGAGGACTCAGGACAACATGCTCCAAGAGATCTTGTAAGCCAGTGCTGCATCTGAGAATGAGATCAGAGGCTGGAGGATGACCTTTGCAGACAGCATGCAGAAAGACACAGCGGAGAAGAGAGTGGCGCAGAAAAAGGCTAGGGCCATGCAGCAGAAAACATCAGAGCTTCTAAAACAGCAAAAGCGAGTTCAATAATCCTGCAATGGCACCTCTGTGCAGGTGATGGAGAATTCAATATTGGGACTCAATATCATTTTATCTAGGAGGACATTAAAGAAAGTCACAGCTTCACATGCACTGACTTGTGAGAACCACAGTTGGTGTCTGTGTATGTGAAATAGAGCATTTTTTCTAGGGATGTAACATTAATTGTGTAGCTGGAGTTGACATATCTTAAATTGCTGTCCACTCAGTGGGAGGTTGATGGGAGCAAACACTCCCATCGGCTTCCCTTACTCTTTGTAGGGAGCAGGTGTATCAGCGTTGATGGGGGGCGCCCTCTGAGTTCGATTTAGAAGGTCTACCCTAGAACCGCTAAATTGAACATAGAAGATCAACCACGGCAGCGTCAATCTTCTGCATAGTGCAGACATGGCCTTATGGTGTTCTACATCAAAACCAAATTGTTGTAATTGCAACCAGAAATCAACAGGTACTCAATTCAGAGCACAGGTGATTAACATACAGTCTGGCCAAAGCTTTTAACACTGTTTTGAAGGCTGTGGCAAAAGGCAGAAATTGGACCTAGTCCCATTCACCTTGAGTCAAAACACATTCTGGCTTTGACTTCAATAGGAGCAAGAGTGGGATTTTAATCTCCTTCAATTTAATTGTGGGAGGCCTTAAGAGACTTTATACTGTTTCAAAAACAATATGTACTGAGACCTTTAGTCACCTGATGTGTTCTGACTCATCTGTTTTCAGATCACTGGCATCAGACAGCAGACAGCTGGCAGACATGCTGACAGGTTTCAGAGGTTGTTAGTATGTTGGCAGTTCTCAGAGACTCATTAGAGAAAGGAAAACTATCTTGAGCCTTTGCTTTCCCAACAGCAGATTAGTGCCTAGCAGCCAACAGGGTCGGATTGAGTTTGTTCATTACAAAACACACGATTATAAGCTAGACTTTAAAAAAAAAAAAAAAAGAAAGGATCTGGGTCAGTGGCAAGGCTCCGAGTTACCAGGCAAGAAACCTGAATTCAGTTCCAAGTCTCAGGGGACAACATTCCACCTTCAGTACAAGACCCATGCAACCGCTGTCAAATTAATGGGTTTGCAGGGAGAGTAAGGGCTAGACCAGGGCTACTAAACACGTGGCCTGCAGGTGCAGTTTGGGTACATGCGGGGCTCAACACGCAGCCCGGCCCACAGGTGGGATCCTTTGAACATCGCCTCTACTGGGAACACGCTCCACAATGGTGTGGCATCTCCCAGGTGTGGTGAGCACTGAAAGACGCAAGTGGAAGCGATGGGTACAGGCTGTCCGCGTTTCTAGCCCCCAGGGAGGAGGTGCTGGGAGCGTAGCTGGGGCACTGTGAAAAGTTCTTTGTATTCATGCCTAGTAGTGTGAAAGAAGCTATTTGCACATATATTTGCATGTACATGCAACCACACTTAAGCTGCGGCCCTCAGCATGTGCTGAGAGTATCACTGTGGCCCCCCGGGCTTCCAAAGTTGAGTAGCCCTGGGCTAGACGAATCTGGCTCCTGACCTCTCACTTCTCAGGAGGACCTCTCACTTCTCACTTGATTAAACAAGGCTGCAGGTGAGAGATACCTGTAACCGTATTATCATGTGAGGCTTTGGGTGGGAGAGAGAAATGAGCACTCCTCAGGGATATGGAGGGCAAGTGTGCATGTGGGGGAAGAGGGAGAAAAGTTTGCATCTAGCCAGTGTAAGAATTGTTTCCACTGCTGTGACCCAAGAACCATGGTTTATTACAGCACTGCTTTCTTTTGTGTCAAAGGCACTAATATGAGCCAATTTCTCTTTTAAATCTTAGATAAATGGGCTTTGAAAAAAGTGAATTCTTTCAACCTATGAAAATTATAGGCTCCTTCCACCCTCAAACACACAGGAACATTGGACTTGTCCTAATGGATCAGGCTGGTAGTTGGTCCAGTCAAACTGTCTGCCCTTTTTCCAACATTGCCTAATACCAGCTGCTTTAGGGGAAGGGGAAAATGAATCCCAGTCATGAACATTATGGAATACTCTGTCCATAGGGGACGATTCTTCCAGCCCCATCAGTTAGTAGTTAGATTATACCTTGTAGTGTGAGTTTGGCACATTGCTTCTGTTTTCACTGGGAGACCATAGGCCTATTATATCATTTTACAAGGGGAAGCTTGGATAGACCCATGATTGAGAACAGTTTTGCAGGCTGGTGAAGCTGAAGGTAGAGTTTTGTCTGTGCCCTGTGCAGGAATGTAGGGGAAGGGAATCTCCTCCTGCCCCATCCTAAGCAGATACTGCTCTGATGCCATTACACCAAGTAAAAGGGCTGGGAAGAACATAAATGGTCCTAGAAGACCCATTTCAGTTCCCCCTGTGCAGGCCCCAAGACTAGCCTCTCTAGCCTCCAGAACATGCCAGAATCAGGGCGGGGCTTGCAACGGTGACTTAGTTCACCTCCCCTTGGGCTGCGAGTTTGTTCATGTTGCTAAACCCTCTTTTCAGCTACCTTGTATTTAAAATATTAGCACCTCTTACCTGGCTGGAAAAATCCACCCTTGGCACTGTGCCTCAAAAGAATTGCAGGCATCTGCTGATGCCGCATACTTTGGCATGCTATTGCTTACATTATATTTGACAGAGCAAGCCAACGCTATGTTCGCTTTTGGGAATCACTGGCTCAGCTGACATGTCTTTCAGGACAAAGTCACAGGCAGGAGTAATACACATGCAAAAGGACTGCTATGTGTTCAAAAGGTACAGGGAGGCTGCAGGATGGACTCCTGTGGCAAGGCTAGGCAGCTGCTCTGTGCTGATTACTAACAGATTCGAAGGAGGAATCTGAGATGCAGCCTGTTGCTCTTCCCACCTGTCCGTTTGATTGTGAGTGGCAGACAATCAGATCTATCATTGTCATCCCCATAACTTTCCAAACATCATGAGCAAAGAGTCACCATACAGTCCCCCTTCAGCTTCTTTTTTACTTCACTGCCCTACCATGCAATGGAAAATGTGTTATTTCCACTGGGAATGGATGGGTTTAAGGCCAGGCCTGGAAACTGCAAGATTCCACCCTAACTGGTGGATAGACTAAGTAAAACACAGTGGGTGGCATGTCTCAAAGAAAAAAGGGCTTTTCCATTCCCACGGGTAGCTGCCCAATGGAGTGACAGTGACAGTGGATTTAGACTTGCTACTTTCACTGGTAGAAGAAATGTGTTGCAATGCTGATCAGAAAGCAGGAAAGGAGAAATAGGAATAAATAAGTGGGGAAGAGGATTTGCTAGAAAACAAGACATCTGGTTTATATGTGCTCTTCACATAATTAATCATTTGGAAGTGTCATGCTAAGGGCCTTTGTGTATTAATTCTTATTGGGTGAAGAACTTTTTTCAAGTGTAACATGCACACATCAAATGTGAGAACATGAGTTCTTATATGACCTGTAAAACCCACCATAACCCTGCTATTTATACAAACTGCTGGCAGTTCATTTTTTATATCACTCACTCGGTGTTTTAAAATAAATGAAGGATGCTAAGCGAGGTTAGAGCCACTTCTTGCCATGCAAGGGAGGATTAAATTACCTCTTTGTGTACTCCAAGTTCAATGTAACCACAGATAGGGTGGAAGGCTCCTGTGCCACAGACATAAACATGGGTCCGGTTGTAGGGCTGAAGAACCCGGATAAAGTTTGCACATTCTGTCTGTTAAGAAAAATGGGAAGAACATTATTGCTTTCCAAGCAGGCACACAACAATACTCATATTTAGTGACTTATTTATTTTTGCACTCACAGCTATGTTTGATTAAGCAATAGCTATGCTAACATTATTTTTTAAAATCTGTAACGGCTAAAACCTTAGCACTGGCCAGCTCCTGTATAGTTCATCCAACTTGGCAATGACTTGAATGTTATACTGATTGCATTCCAGTTGTACTGGTATACAGCCATGAAGAATGACAGTATATGGTGAAAGTAGTTTTGAGGAGTTCTCTGTGTACCAGTCTTTGTTGTAACAAAGCTCCAGCCTTAACAGTTGTCTGGAAATGGGAACGTATGGCAATTGATTCCAAAATGTGATGGGCCCCACGTTTGGCTGGTCCTTTGGTTCCCTGTCATTTCTTCCAATTAAGGATTCAGTGCAAGCATTAACAGCCAAAGATTAATTGTGGGAAAGGATGAGAGGGCCCTCCACTTGTGTGACAGTCCTCAGAGCCACAATACATTGTTAAAGAGTGCATTTTATATTTATACACACTCTCCCCTTCCATTAGCTCTATTGGCCCGCACGAACTGGGGGAAAGTCTGTTATGCTCTGGTGCACCTTAAACAGAAGTCCCAAAAAACAAGGAAATTGAAGCAAGATAAGCAGGTGATGGTCAATCACAATATGTAACAACCATGAAACAGTTAAGTCAGCAATAGTTTGAACAAAACATTATAACAGTCCAAATGGCAGATATGTAGCAGTTTTCCCTAAGTAACTGCACACATCCAGCATTATGTGCAACACACACACACGCTAGTCATCCCAAGGTCCATGACCCTTTTAGGGTAGTTAGCACCAATGTTGTTCCTGGACAGTCCCTTGCAGTTCAGCAGTGCCATGACTTCGATTGTGACTGTCCATTACAAGATTATGGCATGGAGTGGAGTAAGGATAAGCAAAAACCCTGCCTTAACTGAGAAAAAGAAGCAAACAGCATAGCTGTTCAGCTACTTATTTCCAAATTAATATAATATCTGCTGTCTAACTTTTGAGGCGGGAAGAAAACTGAAGAGAGAATATAGCAGATGATAACTACGAAGTGACAGGAAACAAATATTCTTCCCTCAAGCAGCGTCTCTTTTACAAGAGCACAGAGATGGGTCCACCTCCAAAGTTTGTATACAGAGCAGGATCAGCAAGTTCCCAGAGCGTAGGGGAGGTGTTGTTCAGATCTGATGTATTAGAGAGAGAGGGGTCAGCCATTACATGAGGATCCCAAATTGAACTCTCTCAGGCATAAAGTGTATTTCAATTCAGGATTTTAGAACAGGCCCATCCCTTAAACCACTATGAGTATGTCTACACAATAGCAGGTAGCTCGAAATAAGCTATGTGATTTGAGCTAGCTACGCAAACTGCATGGCTTGTTTTGAGACAGCCTTTTTTGAAATTTGGCGCTGTCTAAACAGTGCTAATTTTGAAATAGAGCGGTATCCCGCTGAGTCTCTTAATCCTCATGCAATGAGGTGTATGGGACGTAGGAATAACAATCCCATTATTTCAAATTTATTTTGAAATAACAGGCTTATAGTTAAGACATGCAGAACGCTATTTCGGGATAATGGATGTTATCCTAAAATAGCGCTGCTGTGTAGATGTACCCTATGCCCACTTCATAGGTATAAGTGGGGCAGGTTTTACATTCTTTATGATGCTTCTTATCACTCATGAGGGAATTAGGATTCTTGCCACCATGCAGAAGATGTGGGGGAGGCTTTTTATTATTCAGAATGATATGTTATTATAGAAAAGGAAACCATGACACCACAGAAGAGCTCATGAAACCATGGAATTTTGTTTTAGACTCAGGTCTATGAATTAAGTTAATTTTTAAACATACGAGTTTGACTTTTTTGTAATGAACTGCAGTAAAGCTATGTTCAGTACATTCCCAAGGGGACTGTATAACGGGCACAAGATGAAACAAGAGGGTCTTATTGAGAAAGATTCCCATTGACTTTAGTAGCTTTGGATCAAGCCCACAAAGAATATCCAGGATACATTTTATAATTGACTTGATTCATCTCTCAATGCAATCGATAGCTGAATTTTGCATGTATGTAATGGTTAAACAAGAAACAGTTTTTATACTCAGTGTTGTGCCACATTCTGCTTAAAGCATCAGCATCAGAAAGAAAGATAGAACTACCCTTTTAAGCGAATGATTTCAACAACAGTTGCATGGATTTTTCTTTAAGAAAAAAGATTAAACCAGGGCTACTAAACACGTGGTCAACATGCGGCCCGCGGTGCTGTTTGGGTTTATGCAGGAGGCTCATCACGCGGCCTGCAGGTGGGATCCTTTGAACATGGCCTCCACTGGGAACACTTTCCATACGGCAAGTCAATATAATGGTCTTCTGTTGATATGCACTTTAGTTGTTAAATTCCTGGACTGTCATTGTTCATTAAAAGTGCTCTCATATGAGTGGAAATTGAGTAAATATTGCATTTTATTAATATCAGCAGAACTGACTTAAATGGGGCCTGTGTGTTGTGTAGTCTTGCTTTAATCTTTGTATTCATGCCCATCAGTGTGAAAGAAGCTATTTGCATATATTTGCACATATATTTGCATGTATATGCAATCACACGAACGCTGTTGCCCTCGGCATGTGCGGTGAGTATTATTATGACCCGCAAGGCTTCCAAAGTTGAGCAGCCCTGGACTAAATTATCAATGGTGTGTCTTTTCTGTATTCAATTAAAATACAACAATCTATGTATTTTCCAGATCTTTTTCTACAGCTGCTTAATAATCAACTATAATATAGAAATAAATATATAGCTATACAGTTTTACCAGCACCAATAAAGAAAAAAAAACACTATTTACCTGGGCATCTTTCCCAGCTAGTTTGCAGACTTCCACCTTCTCTTTTGCTGCAGGCCAGTAAATCTGTAATGCATTTAAAGGTGTGTTAGGACCAAGACTTTGCAGCACTTTATTGTTTCTTATGATTTCATTTGAGGTATTTCATTGCAAAGAGCAGCTTATATAGCCTTATATATTCTGTACAGAACTAGAGTTTTGTAGACAATCATAATACCTATACAGATTTTAAATACAATGTGGCTCATCATTCAGTCATTTCTTCATTTCATTTACCCATTTTTAAGGTAAATTTTTAAGACCCTTTACCTGTTTTCATAATTCATCTGTGCGTTTAATGTAAGGAGTTGTGCCTGGATCACTGGAATACAATGGACCAAATTCAGTTTGAGAGTCAGACAACTAAAATCTATAGAATTAATCTAAAGGCCCAGGGACTAGAGATTTGGCAAAATGATTAGAAAAACATAAAGATATTAGCAGTTTCTGCCAATTCTAAAATGAAAAGAGGTTTTGTTTGTAAAGCTATGCATAGCTTTATGGAAATCTTTAGAATAAAAAGGGCATTTGTCAGAAATGTATTGCACACAGTTTA